TGGCCTCTCAATGCACAAAGGGAGAACGCCAGCTGTCTCTCGCTGAGATGATAACCTGACATGAGACCAGATGCAGAAATAAAAAGCGTATTTTAAATGTAAAGCTCACAAAAATGAAAAACAAGTTGTCTCTTTTGCAGTCATACCATAAGCATCATTCATTTGGAAAGGTCAATATTAATTAGCAAATCCAGCAGGGACATTCTGTCACAGGCTTTTTTGTGCATGTGGCTGTTCTCTGTTGCAAATGAAAGATAATCCTTATTCAGTCAGAGGCCTGAAAGCTGTCTTGTCTCTGAAATTCCAACCTCTTTTAAACGACTGGTAAATATAATTAATTTAATTTTAAAATTCAACATGTTCAAGCAAATTATCCTTGATTTCTGTTTTGGCTGCTTCCACAGTTCCAAATTCTTAAGTTTAAAATCAAAGGTAATCTCAAAAAAACCCCAGCAGATAACCACATCGAGTTATGTGCCAGACTGACAGGATAGTGGCATTTATCCTTGGGGAAGGGCAGGCCTTCCTTTTATGCCTGGTTTTCAAATAAAAATGTGGAAGAGGACTCTCAAAGAAAAAAGACACCACCACCATCTTCAGGTGGCATCTTTGCATCAGAAACCAAACCCCAAATTCACTCTGCATTGCTCCGAAGACCATTTTGTACTTTCAAAATACTGATTATCCATCCCGTGGAATTGGGAAGGCACCAGCTGAGATGCTTTGCCCCTTTCAGGGACAGTCCAGAGAAGACAGCTGTTAGAATTGCCTGTCATCTACAAATGCTTCTTCAGTCAAAGGGAGGGGGGCTCTCAATGGCTCCTGTTATAGATCCAGATGTCAGGAGCTTGTGAAGTCTGTACGGAGGGTGGAAAGCACGAACTAATGGTGACAGAAGCTAACTGCATTATGTAACCACAAAGTTTGTCTTTTAAAGAGCACCACGACATTCAGAGCAATAAACTTGAAACTGCAGCTCCTCCTTCCTCGAAGTATTTTGTTGTAAATATTGCACATGGGTAATGGATAATTAGAAATAGGGTTTTAGTCTACAAATATAAATCAAGAAATGAACACTAAAAAGCCCCTTAAAGCAACATACGGCATTTAAATAGATTACAACTTCTGAAGTATGTAATGACTTAAAAATATTAAGGCTATTACACGGAATATCAATAGGAGTTATACTCAAGTGACTTAAATTTCCATGTTGCATAACTATACAGTTTCTATTTACCACTTAACACTGAATTTAATAATTCTAATGAACTACTGAAAAAGCTCGTCATTTTTTTCCAACTTCACATGCTCAAGCTCAGTTTTCTTTAGCTGACTGCTTTATTAGATGATTTGTTGAAACAGCCATATGCACCTATCTAGTCTATAAGCTGTTTGGAAGAATGATATTATGTCCATGCACATTTATAAGGAGCTTTGAACATAGTATTAGCAAGAAAAGATCAAAACCAAATTAGCAACTTGTTAATTGAACTGCTGTAAGTATTTTTTGGTTTATAAGTATTTTTTAGACACTCTTACTGCAACAGTACCCTGACACTTGTCTCTCTTGTCACCTGAATCCCTTGCATGAGAATTTATGGAATTTGGGGTGGGGGGTAGTTCGTTTATTTCTTGGATGTTCCCAGCTAACTGCTCTAACAATGATACTTTTGCTGCTGTTAGCTTCCCTTATTTTGCTACTATCACAGATTTCCCATATACTGCCTTCTTTCTACACTGCATTGCCATGCATGTTGCCTGAATAACACCTCAAAGACGACCTTACACTGTTTAGATGAAAGTTTCCATATTATTTAAATTAATTCCCTATTTCTTGCTGCTTGAATCTGACTTTCATACCTGCTTTAAACCTTTACCTATAATGTCGTGGACTGCAAGAACACCATCTTCCTTATTCCCATCCTTCTAATATTCTAAATAAGCAGGGACATTCATCTCTCTTCACCTCCTCTCTAGAATATTTTCATGAAATTCTCTCCCACTACTTGCAAAGTCTGATAATAACATGGAACAGTATTATGCATGTATCTCCCCTATGGTTACAGATCGGGCTCTCCTGTATATCCATTTGTAATGGCCACATATGTTTTGCTTCTGATTGCTCACCCAGCATTGCATGATCTATTAAAGAGGTGTTACAAGAAGCAGTTTCAGGTAGTCTATTAGAAAAACAACACATTTTATCACACCTTATCAGTATCTCAATGACCATTTAAAACTCAGCTGCTGACCTGATATTCTTTCAATGCCTTACGGATAGATTTGGTGGTCTGAGATCATTTTTCTAAGCGATGGAGGTCCCCATTACAACTCATCACACAAATTGGCAGCTTGCTAATAAATCTCAGCATAGGCACCAAGGATGAGTAGATATGGAAGAAGTCTCTTGTCTCTTCCATGTCAGAACCATGAAAGATTTGTAAGGGAAACCTTGTAGTGTTGCTGTCACTAATGCCAAACAGAGAGATTTTGCCACTGAATTTAGCAAACCAGAAACCTTCAAGAACACTATAATTTATTAATATCCTTTGTCAGTGACTTACACAACAGATATTAGTATGTAATTTATTTATACAGTATGGCACAGTAATTATTCATGGCACTCTCTGGACTTGTACAAATGGAAGGGCCCTTCCCCCAAAAGCTACAACTGATTTTAGCCCAGCTATAGAGATTTGGATAACAAAAGGGTCTGAAAAAGGAGTAAAACCAAAAGTTCACAACCCGTGTTCAGTATCCGGGCATTTTTTACAATGGATCTTTTATCCCTAAAAATATGCACACCTATTACATCTCAGAACAGCATCTGAAATACAGCACAGTGATATTAGACTGAATTAAGAAAGCAGAGTTGCACAGCAGAACATAAGGGTTTACAGTCACTAGTAAAGACACTGTAGCTGGTTTTGTTGAGAACTGAAGGCAGTTATGGGGAAAGGTGGAAAGGCGAGCTGAGCTAGGAGAGTAGCGTACTGATCACGTGTAAAGCAACTGTAAAGAGGAATCAGATACACAGTGAAGGTACTGGAGAGACAATTGTCCAAATATTTGATTTCCCTGACTGATTGGTTTTTATTATATATCCTTTTAGGTTGCTATGGGCTTTATATAATTAGTTTTGCTTGCCTCTGAGAGCTATACTCAAACCACTCCAATCAGCAGTTATGAGGGCCTATTCTTTTTAATGCTTTGGAAGTTCTACCATTGGTGTATCAATTTTGTATTGTACATGTGTGTCAAGACACACTCAGCTTCTCAATGAGCTTGACTTGAGTTCAGTGCAGCAATGCTACATTAAATGGCTATTTTCTAACTCATAGATCTGGAAAATAGGGTTTAATCAATGACCATTAGACCTTGCGCTCCCTTCTGGCATAAAATGACTTCTTTCATCCAGGGTTACTCTATTGTTGTTTTAATAAGTTACGATTGGCATTTGGCACTGAGTTACAGGGGCACGGAGGCCCTATTAGCAGGAAAAAATTAAAGTATGACGGAACAAAACAATTAAGCGGGACAGGATAAGTCTCAACAATGCGGTAGATTATGTCACGCTTGCATTTCACTTTATGTATTGTATTCCCCCTACAAGCACAAGGGGACACAGCTAACAAAGGTAAAATACTTCTCTGCTTAGGAAATTGTTTTGAAAGGTTATTTTCTATAACTGGAGGCCACGTCTTAAGAGGTTCTGAGCATGTGCGCTTCTCCTTGCAGCGAAAAGTCATAGGCTTTTTACTACATTTACTTCAGTTAAAAAAAAAAAACAGTTTATGTGCTAAATCTGTGCACCTGTTATGTCTCACTTAAATCTACAAATGTTTTCTCCCCCCCATCCCACCCCAAACTACTAAGATCCGCCTACCTCAAAAGGTTCAAGTAGGAACTTATTGACATAAAACCTCTTATGTGCCCCTGGCACTAAGAGAATTTCTCCTGAATTTCCTTCCCACTGTTTCAACATTGCAAAAGAAACTGAAGACTGAATTCTGTGAGATGGAAGTGTCCTGGAAGCTCCAGTCCTGAAGGTGGCTAAAGCAAAGCCACCACAGTTCATTCATTAGATTCTCAGCTCCTCATAGGCACCAGCCGCACAACACAGTGGCTTTGTCTGGTGGTTTTCAGCCTCAAAAGACAAGAATAAATAGGTTGTTTGCACCAGGCAAAATGCCCAGGCTTGCCAAATTACTGGTGGGAAGAACCATATTCTGTTTTATCGAAACTATAAAGTGCTGATAGCAAGACATTATGAACATGCATTTTCCTTCACCCTTTACTTTAAGAAAAAAGGCAGCCCCACACTTTAACATTTTACTTCCTTATTCTTATGTATGTTTCAGTTCTAAACTGTTGTGAATTGGCGCTCCATCTCAAAGTCTCACAGGCTACTTAAAGTCACTTTAGGACAGATGACACATTCTATACCAACACAATATCTTTTTCTCTTCTCCCCCCCCGCGATATTACTTATTGCATTATTTCCTCTATATCTGTATAGACACATTAGTGAAAAAGCACATATAGGAAATTGCTCGGCTAATTTTTTAGGAAGGACCACGACATTTTTTAATCCAGAAAATGGATTCAAAGTTTTGAAGACAGTTTGAATGACAAAATTTACTTGCTGAAGTATTCAGAACAGTAGTATATTCAAAACAGTATTCTCATGCACTTAAATACTCCCCCTCCCCCCCCAATATTTCCTTTGCTAGGAATTATCTCTCTTTTCCTAGCAATTTGTGGGTTCTTCACCGATTCCTGCAATAAGAACCAAAAGGGTGACCAATCATAGACATGACTATTACCAATTTCATAGATAATACTTGTATAGATAAGAAAATTTTCTTCCTTTTGCTGTTTTCTTTTCAACTCTGCCTGCAACCGAGAAGCTAATACACTGGGGTATGCACACATCTACCTGTTGTCCGTGAATAATAAGCCTTTAACGACATCTGGGGCTCAATGAAGCAAGGACTTACGCTTGGAATGTTTGTCACAGAGAGCCGATGCCCTCATGTCGCAGAGTCTCAGGGATCCTTTGCTGCTGCTGTAGACAAAGAGATTGCAGTGATGGGGATGGAACTCAGAGGCTGTAATCACTTCCGTCAGGTCCTCCATATTGGCTGGCTTTATATCTACAATGTCTGAATGGAAGTTTCATTAAGGAACATGCAGTTGTATGCAGGTAAACCATGACTCTTACTGCCTTTCTGAAAGAAGCATGATCTTCTAAATGTCCATACCTTTAATGCTTTTAGATAAAGACATACTCATTTTTTTGGCAGCAGGATGTTTTCAAATTTCCATACATGCCCCATCTACACCAAACTCAGAGCCACTAGTCAACAATGGTTTTACAGCAGATGCCATTAGTAGGTCAACATTTGTTCATGCTGTGCAAAGACATCAAAGAAACAGTATTCCAGGGGGTTTGGAATTCTCACTTTTCTTAAAACTAAAAAGAGAGCAGGTAGCTGTATCTCCTGTAGTTGCTATTGAAATCACTGCTCTATCCCAGATAATACTGATTCACAGGGAACAACGTACAGCTCAGATCTGCTCACTCCAGTAAAGGCTCACTGGCTTTTATGATGATGCAACTTAAACTAAAAGATACACTAGCTTAAGGTTAAAGCCTCAAACAATACATGTACCTTTTTGCAAAGGCAAATGTGGCAAACAGAAGCATTTATGCAAATAGTTTTGTGTGACTATATACTGATATAATATCCTTTCTAAAAAAATTGTGCACAGTATTGGTTTCGCTATTTGAACGCTTATTTGAATACTTGCGAAAGAAGTACCTGAAATGGCCTTCTTGGGTTTTTATGTAAACGATACTCATTACTGAAATCAATATGAATTTCTGTGACTGAGAACTGTACATCCGAATCGTTTAAGTGGACATATCTGGAACAAAAATACATCAAAGATCTAGTTTCACAAGCGCAAACCTGTCAGTTGGAGCACCAAAGATTATCCACATGAAGTATGGCTCACATGGTACCTCTCCAACACATATACCCCCTCATACATATTACCTGCCTTGGTGAGATTAAAAACCAGGACCCAGTTAGCATGTATTTGGAGAAGGCTAGCCTGTGGAAGATCGCTCATAAAGAAAAGAATGAAAGAAAGAGTCCCATGAGGGGGCTGTAAGAAAGCAGTAGGTGTAGAAGCATAAAGTGAAAGAAGGATATATATGTAAAGCAGTATATTTAAATAAGATTGTACATTTTCATATGGCCCTCAGCAATCCGCTGTAGATAAGCCATCCAAATGTTAACAAATCCTTCGAACAAGAAGAGTAACATTACCCTATTTTACTGATGAGGCTGTGTGAGAGGCAATAAAGGATTTGCATAAGATCACCTGGGAAATGCATGAGAGAACAAACCCAGATCTACTGAGTCCCAGTTCAGTGCCCCAAACACAAATCATCTCAGTGCCTGGATTCCCCAAACATAAAATCTGAATCAGCTGACGTTCAAAATTTAAACATCTCAGAGGATAAGATAAATGAGAAAATCTGTTTCACTGATGGCAAGAGAAATTACATATCATGATACTAAGCCTCCTTCTGTTCCCATTGTGCCCACTTCCCAAATGGAAGACCTTTAATTGATTTCTGTGGGAATGGGGTACAGTCTATCACCACCTTAACACTATATACTTTGATCTTTCCCAAAAATGCAGATCTGGGACACTGCATTGAAATTAAACACGACACAAAAGATTCAGAGATAATTATCTTGATGACTTTGCACAGACAAATACATCACACTGATGTTTGGGGTTTTGGTTTTTTTTACACCAAGTGGTTTCAAAAGGAAAATATCAGCAAAACTATGAGTATCTTGTGACATTTAATAACAACTGGGAATGAATTAATGTTGCATTTTGACTGCATTCCCACATATCTCCCAGAACCCATCATGTTTAATATTAGTGCAATGAATGTTAAGATGTAGCAACATTGATTTACCCCTTTTATAAAGCATCACTAAATATTCTTGAAAATCAACAGGAAAAAATGACCTTTATTCGGTTATTTGTATTTGGTGAATCTGTCTCAAGAAATATCTTTAAGTAAAAGCAATTGCTTTCATAGATTGAATTTCTTTCCAGAGTTCAGAGAAATTATAGTAACTCAATACAAGAATTTCACCTCTCAGCAGAGAGATGAATAATTGCTAAGTGATGAGAAAGCCATAAAATATAAATAGAGTATGTGAAACAGTCATGGTAAGTACCATTTTTCTGGATGCTGAAGACAATATTGATGAATTTCCCTTCATTGCGTGAAATGAATAACCCTATGCTGAATAATGAAATTAAATATTCCACTCTCCTGCCAGAAAAGCAGAAAATATTTGAAACAGACTGCATTTCCAGATGTGATCTAAATCTCCACTGAGAAAGAATGTCATTGCCTACTAAGGATCATAGAGAAAATGCTGCACTGAAAATTCATTGTTTCGTTAGATTCAGAAAAAATAAAACAATAACACTTGTACTGAAGTAAACAATCAAGGGAATAGAGAGTTGCAGAAGAGATTTACCCCAAATGCATTTGTAATAATAGATGGAAAAACAGCCTTTCCTTTGACAGCTAGAGAACCCAATGTATCAAAAGAAGACCATGTCACACAAAAGAGCATTTTTCTCCTCTCATGATTTTTGCCATCTATTTGAAAACAATCAAGTACAGCTTGACATGTGATATGTGGGAACTGTATTTAAACTAGCATGACATGGTAAGGGCAAGCATCTCCCATGGGACATTTTGCATTTCTATTTTTCCATCTTCCCTTTGTGTCTTTTTCTTCCTTTTAAGCACAATGTCTCATGGCAGGAAAATATTAAAAAAAATTGGACCAGACAGTGTGCTTCAGAAACAGGCCCTCTGGTGAACTTGAAGAGCTCAAAGAAGAGGGAATCTGGCAGAAACTGATTAAATGAAAGTTCCATTGCTAAAGGGAAAAGTATTCTAATGTCACAGATCTGTAGAGTTGCCTCCTACGCTAATGGCTTCCCTTACAATCATATCTTCTGGAGGTATGTCTTGAGTGGGGCATGGTCCCTCTCCCTTAGTTCACTCACATCTGAAATACCAGTCACATCTGACTCCTGTCGTGTCACATTTAATGTGGTTCATTTTCAGAGTGGGGACAAAACGTCTAGGACCAAAGCTAAGACAGAAAGACCAAAGAGTTCACCTTTAGCAGTGCAGAAGGATATAATTCTGTTGTCCTAGAAAAGCTGGTGTTCCTGTGCCTGAACAGGGTAGGAATTTCCCCTAAGAAAATGAAAAAGGTCTTCACACTGCTTTGACTTCTACACGTGCTTGCCAAGAACGAGGCATTTCGATCCCTGGTAGAAACTTGCACTAAGGGAAGGCTGAACGGGCGCCTTGCCAGCAACAGGCTGGAATGCATTGGCAGTCTTTTAATTCATTAACATTAAAACAAGGAACAGAAAATATCTTCTTGCTCACAAAAAACAGAACAGGTCTGTCCCTCCTAACCCAACTGTTTGCCAGGTCTCCCCTCCACTGCTTGGCTCAGTGAAATGGGATAAAGCTATGAAGAGGACAATAGATTTTCTAGATGCTCTCCACACCAAGATGGAAATGAAAGGTCTAGTATGCTTGGAGACCACAATGGTGAGAGATTATGCTCTTACAGTTGGGTTAGTAGAGCTACAAGCCCAGGAGTTATTTTTGGGAAAGGCAACAAACATACTATAAGGCAACGTAACCTTTAACTTTCGCGAAGAGTGTCTATGTTGCTTTCCCAATATCATTCAAGAACAGAGGGATAACATAGGAGAGCAAGCCGGCAGGACAG